GCAAACACGAATGAGACATTGAGCGGTTATTTGTACCCGTCATACAGGCAGTTTTGTAAGAGTTAGAGTTGGCGCACTAGTGGACAGTGGGTCAACACGCAGCTATATTAGTAATTTGCGGTTAGGGAAGGTTCAGAAGTCGGAACAGCCGGTTGTAACTAAGTTAGCTGATAATAGAGAGATGGTTGTAGATAGCTACGTCGAGGGGGTTAGGGCATACTTCCTGTTGGAGGTAGGGGGTAAGGTGGAACGTATTCTGCACACCTTGACATTCTTAGTGGAGTTCAGTCTCCCCTTTGACTTGATATTAGGGACTGATTGGGGCGAAGCCGCGGATGCAGGCATCAAATTGGGTGAGCATGAGTGCTATCTCCCTTGTCCCAAAGGTGGGAAAAGAAGGTACATTTGTTCCATGTGTTCGGAGCAAAGAGTAGCTTAGCCCATTGGTGCATGAGTGCCATTGTTGCATGAGTGCCCCTGCAATTGCCCGACATGTGGCCAAAAACGACCTTGTGGACGAGGTATTTGTTGAGTATGTGCGCCCGGTGAGTGAAGAAGAAAGAAAGGTGGAACCTATTCCCCCCGAAATACAAAAATTGCCGAGTGAATTTGCAAATGTGGGAAAAGCCCCGATTGGAGTGGTTGAGAGAGAGACCAAGCATCGGATAAATCTTGAACCCGGTAGCAAGATACCCAAGGGCGTGATTTATAGAATGTCTCCTAAAGAGTTGGACAAACTGCGGAAGCAATTAGATGAGTTGTTAGAGAAGGGGTGGATTAGACCAAGTTCTTCACCGTTCGGTGCCCCGGTACTGTTTGTGCCAAAGAAGGGCGGCGGACTGCACATGTGCATAGACTACAGGGGACTCGATGCTATAACTGTGAAAAATGCACAACCATTGCCTAGGATAGGCGACCTGTTGGATAGGGTGCAAAGTTGCAAGTACTTCTCGAAAATCGACCTGAAATTTGGCCACCATCAGATTGAGATAGCGCCAAAAGACCAGCATAAGATGACTTTTCGGACTAGGTACGGACACTACGAGTTTGTCGTAATGTTGTTTGGTCTAACTAACGTGCCTGCAACTTTCCAACGATGTATGAATGACTTGTTTCGTGATTGGCTTGATAAATTTGTCGTTGTTTACTTGGATGATATTGTGATTTTTAGTAAGAGTTTGAGCGAACACAATGAGCACCTTCGACTTGTGCTAAGTAAGCTGCGAGAAAGCAACTTTAGGATTAACCCCAAGAAGTGTGAATGGGCGAAGCGTCAGGTTTTGTACCTTGGGCATATGGTTGATGGTGATGGGATGAAACCGAAAGACGCTAAGATTGCAGCCATTAGAGATTGGCCTAACCCAAGTACCCTGACCGAACTACGTTCGTTCCTTGGTCTGGCCAACTATTACCGCAAGTACGTTTAGAACTTTACGGTAATTGTTGCCTCATTATGTAGTCTGTTGAAGAAAGAAACTATCTGGAAATGGGATCAGGATTGTACTGCGTCCTTTAAGTGTCTAAAAAAGTGCCTGATTAACTATCCGGTGTTAGAAGTTGTAGATCCATCTCTGCCTTTCGTAGTGACAACCGATGCCAGTGAATTCATGATAGGGGTCGTACTCCAGCAAGATGATGGCAAGGGGTACAGGCCAGTGGAATATATGTCCAGTCGACTGCCTAGTGGTAAGGTCGCCGCTTCCTCGTACGAAAGAGAGTTGTTTGCTCTTCGGGAAGCTCTGAGTCACTGGCGACACTATTTACTAGGACGCCACTTCCAGGTTTACTCTGATCATGAGACACTTCGCTGGCTTAAAACGCAGGCCTGTATGACACCTAAACTGACAAGGTGGGCCGTTGAGATTGATCAATTTGACTTTGAACTGAAGCCAATTAAGGGAAAGTATAATGTAGTCGCCAATGCTCAAGTAGGAGATCGTAATTTTCCAGTGCCATTGTGACATATATAGATGCTGGAACCGAACTGCAAGAGAAAATTAAGTCTGCTTATGCGGGTGATCCAGTCTATAGCCAGCTGATTAGCAAGGTGCAGACTGCACCACACGAAATCCCGGACTATAGTGTGACGCAGGGACTGCTGTTTGAGAAAACAGACGTCCATGATCGATTACGCGTCCCAAACAACGAAGAAGTTCGCAGCATCATACTTGGGGAAAACCATGACACCGAGGGGCACTTTGGATGGAGAAAGACTTATGCAAACCTCCTACGCTCCTACACGTGGCCAGGAATGAAGCATGACTGCACACATATGCTATATCCAAAACGTACAAAATTTCGTAAATATCAGAAAGGAAGAAGCAAAGGCTCTCACGCGGCGGCACAACTTTGTTTTGGAAAATATGGTCTTAAAAGTTGTGAAGCAGGTCGCATATCATCTCAAGGAATTGAAGCGTCGCGTCGTGCCATCACCAGGAACTTTCAGAGAAATGGTAAAATATGGGTGAGAGTTTTTTTTAACTTTTTTCAGATATTCCTATTACCAGCAAACCTACAGAAGTAAGGATGGGAAAAGACATGACTGCATTTCCTACGTGCAAGGCCGTCAGGTATGTCAAAGGAACAAGAGTTCCACACAGCCTCCCCTTGGATTGCTCAAACCACTGCCTAAAAACCGTCAGGACCCGGGGATTCTGTATCTAAAGAGTTCATGGACACTACAGTCACAAGCAGAAATGGTAAAAGTCAGGTTATGGTTGTGATAGACCGATTTAGTAAATTTGTTGTTTTTGTTCCACTTCCCGCTGAAGCCAGAACGGATTTGGTAATGCGATAATTCTTTAATCATTGGGTAAAGGACTTCGCGCATCCCTTAACCATAGTTAGTGACAGAGATACTCGGTTCACGGGTGAACAGTGGCAGCAACTCATGAAAGTCTAGGGATCCAAGTTGACTATGTCCTCAGGCAGACATNTAGTTAGTGACAGAGATACTCGGTTCACGGGTGAACAGTGGCAGCAACTCATGAAAGTCTAGGGATCCAAGTTGACTATGTCCTCAGGCAGACATCCTGAGACTAACGGACATACCGAGAAGATGAACAAGTTGTTGCAGCAGACGCTGCGAATGTACATCCGACCAGATCAGATTGACTGGGATGGAGCATCTGCCGAAAGTTGCTAGTGCCTATAACATTCTGTACATCTGTCTACTTCCAGAACACCTACCGAATTGCATTTGGGACCCATAGACTGTCTGAATCCTCACCAAATACAAAGACTTCCACCGGGAAGTAGGGAATTTGCTGTGCAGTATCAGAAAGATATTGAAAAAGTCAAGGAGAATATAGGTGAAAGCGCAGCATCAGATGATAGAGCAATCAAATAAGCATCGTAGACCCACACAGTTTGTTGTGGGAGATTTAGTCTGGGTAAGGTGAAAGGAATTTCTCCTTGAGGAGAGCATCTCCCAGAAACTATTGCCTGCCTATAGAGGACCGTGGCAGATCTTAAATGTGATTGGTGATGTGGATGGTCCTTCCTATGCATTTGCACACTTAACCGGTGTGTCATGCTTCCAAGCTTCTACCTTGCGTTACTAATGAGCTGTTTCCTATTCGTAGATCGATGGTTCCCCCTGACATGAATGGGAAATGTGGTGTAGACAGAATTGTTGGGGAAGATGTTTACACATCTGGGCGCAGGGGTAGAACACAGCAACAATATAAGGTTAGATTTGCTTATCAGGAACCTTCAGAATGTCGCTGGTTTACAAGAGATGAACTGATTAAGACAGCACCGCATATTGTGTCCTATTATGAGAGAGCTAAGAGTGGAATTAAGATAATTAATAGATAAAGTTGATAACTTCCTCGGAGGACCTCGAAATTAGGCCGGCGAGAGTGAAAGGCCTTCCACAATTCAGACCCCAAACTCCAGAGGCAGGAGTCACAGTGACTCTCAGGCCCAGGCAGCAGCACACCATTGGAAAATCGGGAAAGTACCAGGCCCTGATATTCAGAAGCAGACAGGCCCTGGGCATGTGGTACCAGGCCGAGGTGAACCATTTGTAGCAGAGGCTGGGACAGCCAAAATGAAGATCGAAGGCAATATAAGGACTGGCCAGCCTCTCATTCGGGCAGAATGCTCGTTCGCATGAAGTGTGGAAGTGCTCTCTCTCTCTCTCTCTCTCTCTCTCTCTCTCTCTCTCTCTCTCTCTCTCTCTCTCTCTCTCTCT